CTGGGGCCCCTGACATATCTGGGCACCCCTGGGTGAATCAGCTTGCCCACAGCCGCCCCCACTGAGGTGGCGGTGGTGGAAAGAAGCCTTCCTTTTACTCCACCCCCAACCCTCTGCCCTTTCTTTCTGCCCTCAAGGCCCGTGCCAGTGGCTGTAGGCAAAGACCGTGCCAGTGGGTGGTGAAGCTGAGTCCTAGGGCCAGGCCTGCAGCCCTGGCCTTCAAGTGAGGGTGACGATCTCAGCTCTTCCACCAGAAAGGGGCAGTGGCCCCAGCCCGGGTGGCCAACACATCTGCCCAGCACGTCACCTGCCTCTCAGTCGCCCAGTGACGGCTGGCCCAGGACTCTTTCTCTGCCCAGTCCTCCCTTACGGAGGAGCCATGCCTTACGCAGCGCTGGGACACACACACAGACACACACAATCCAAACGGACAACCCAAGAGTCCCCGTCAAGAAGAGTTGTACAGGCATGACCACATCCATTTTAGAACCCCATTATCTGTTAATTCCATATTTCCACGAGCTTTTCCAAGTTGTGTGAGTGTGTGTGTGTGTGTGTGTGTGTGTGTGTGTGTGTGTGTGTGTTTTCCATTGCCAGCTCTTCATTCCGACTCCCAGGGACCCTCTCGAATGGAGTATAGCGGCTGGAGTTTCCAGGCTGTCCATCCATACGGAACAGGCTGCGACATCTCTCTCCTGCGATGCGGCCATTGGGTTCAACCTGAAGCCGGCCTTTTGGCTGGCAGCTGAGCGCTACACCACACGGTCTCCCATAAAACTTAAATGACCCAGGAACCCCGCCCCTCCTGGGTGGTTCTCCCCATTAGCACAGGGTCACTGTGAGTCAAAGATGGACCCCAACAACAGTGCACAGAGGCATCCCTTTGAAAATCTCACCAAACACCAAGCCGTCCGGTTCACGCCGACGCAGACCGACCCAGTAGGACAGGGAAGAGCTGCCCCCGTGGGTTTCCGAGACTGACGCATTCCTGGGGATAGACTGCCTCACCTTTCTCCCTCGGAGCGACTGGCAGATTTGAACAGCCGTCCCTGTAGGTACCGGGGGAAAGGTGTCAGCACTCCAGCCAACAGCAGGGCTCCCGCTACAGACGGTGTGAGCATCCCGCCCATCTCTCAGACTCTCCAGCATCTCCAGTCACAGGCCCGAGTCTCGGGCGAGCATTCGGTTGAGCTTGTGTTAAGGGATCACATGATCTAAAATAATCGGTGGGTTTCTGTAGTTTGGTTGCTATTTCCTTAGCTGTGCCACCTGAGGGGCTTGGGGGGCAGTGCCGTGGGAAAGTGGAAGGGGGCAGGTAGCTTGTGGATGGGCCAACTGCATTGCTTCTGCCTTGCAGACAAGGAACGAGGAGTGGGCTTGGTGAGAAATTACTCAGCGGTTTGAAGTGGTCGCTGCGTTTACGGATGTTTCATTTTCCGAATGTTCTGTTTGTTTGTTTTTCTCGAAAGCTGTATCCTAGAATTCTTTCTCTCTTCTGGTTTCTATGGCAATCATTACCCCCCAACCTTTTGGTCTTGAGAACTCTTTGCACCCTTAAAAAGGGACCCCAAGCGTTCTTGTTTCTGTAGGATGTTTCTCTTGACATTTAATTTTTTTCGTGCAACATTAGAAACAAGGGATCGAAAAACTGCATATTCATTACCCAAGAGTAACAGTGAGAAACCCATTACATGTTACCATTGACAGCAGCTATTTTTATTTTTAAACAACAACCCGGGGAGGGGTGGGGAGAGAAGAAAAATAAACATTTCTTGGGATGTGTGTCCTGGTTTGTTTGTTTGTTTGTTTTACAATTTCTGCACATCTCTTTTCCTGGAAGACAGCTGGAGCTTCGGCTCGGCTCCCGTCTGTGGCAGTCCATTGCTGGGGTTAACATACATGATGACGGTGCGGCCGCCCTGCCTCTACGTGACTGGAAAGGGCCTGGAGAAGGAACGGAGCCTGAACCAAGTTAGGGGAGATGGCGAAGTTGCCGAGTGGAGAGCGTTAGGCTGGGGAGTTTGATGTTTTGAAATCCGGTTTCAGAGATGAGCATCCACAGAGATCACTTATAGAAACCAAGAGGTCACGCGAGGGAGCCGCCAAAGGGCGTTTGAGTGAGGACGTGGCGTGATCAGAGCAGCTTTGGGACAATCCCCAGGACAGTAGAGCGAGAGAGGGTGTGTTGACAAAATACTAAAAGGATTGAAACCAGGGTGAGGCCAGTATAGATGGGAGCGGAGGGTGCCGTGGGCGGTGATTTGGCAAAATATTTTGAAAGTGGAAGCAACAGAACCTGGTCTCCGTTCGGAAGGAAGGTGTGAGGCATCAGCTGCCCTGCACAATGTCTGCCCACCCGCCGGCCCCTGCGCGACCTTGCTGGGCTCTCCCGCTAGGCTGTGTGCTGCTGTAGGTGGTCGGGGACAAATGGAGGGTGAGGGTGGAAGGAAGGCAGCAAAAGGGCGGCTTTGACCAATGGAAATGTGGTCGGGTTAGGTGGCCAGAGGCGTCTGCTGTCTAAGGAAGGCCGTCTCTGTTGACTGTGGGTTCCGGCTTCGGCCTCTCTTCCAATATCCGTTGGTGTGGCATTTCTTGAAGATCTCCATGTTCCTTGATAATCAGTCTTTCCCTGTGTCCGGACGGTTCTTAGGGAAGGGACCTTGGGTCCAAAGAACATGCTTTCTTGGTGGCCATCAGGACACTACCACCTCCCCCACCCCTACCACCACACACACACTCCTCTCTCCTTTGGCCTTTTAAGAGATAGAGGGGTGCAGGTCACTGCCCAAGGAAACACCCTGGTAGCACTGTGACCCCACCCTGACCCTCGTACTGTGGATCGCATCACATCGTGAGGATGATCGTGTGACTGCCAAATTCCCGCAGCATGTAACTGCCAACCCCCTGAGAACGGCGGCCCAGCCGAGTTTGATGCATACACTGGGGGGAACATAATTCAATCCGTGATGAAAATCAAGAACCCCGCCTGGGCTGTACAACCTAGAGAGAGGGCCGAATGATGGTGCCAGGCATAGAAATCTGAAAACCAAGAGGGAAAGGCGCTCGTTTGAAAAACCATGTTGTTGTGATTGTTGAAAGTATGCACCCCCAAGCGCACAACGCAACTGCCCGACTCAGTGAGCAGGATGAGAGTCTGACTTGTGCAACCACGATCACCCCTCTTTCCTGGCATGACCCTTCACCTGTAGCATAGACTCGGCGCCCTCTAAGGTGTCTAGGTAATCTGGGGAGTTGCTGGTGGTCCCACAGGCCTTAAAAGAGCATTGTGCTCAAGACGAGCACGCTTTGCTTGTTAGGCTACGCAGTGGTCTGTTTTTAAGATGACTTCTAGGGCTATTTGGGGTGTAAGGTTACCTTGGGGCAATGGCTTCAGGGGTTTGTCAAGCCCTCATGGATCCAGAAAGTCTGGATTCCACGAGCATTTGAGATTCTGCTCTGCAGTTTCTTCCCTTTGACCAGATGTCTCCTATAGAGTCTTCCGTCAAAATGTCCATTAGCGCTAGCAGGGCACCGTGTGGATTCTCTGGTCTCCTGACAAAAAAGGAGGCAGTCGTGCCTGCCGGGTGAGGGACAGGCAGAATCAGCCCCGTGCCCCAGCTGCTGCTCCTGATCCAGGTGAGCAGAGACCCCCTATCTCACCTTGGGTGGCCACGGGCGAGCATTTCAGACCTGCACCGTGTAAGGAGATGTTCGTTATCTTTACGTGACCTGAGAGGTAGGGGCAGGTAATGGGTGGATCTTGAAATACACCTTTCTCTTGGCAAGGAGCTGGGGATTGGAGGAGAAATATGAGACACATGGCGGGGAGGGTGGGCACTGCTCTGCTCTGGCTTCTTAGGGACTCAAGTCCAGCGAGGGCATGAAATAAAAAAACAGCTAGAAATGCTACCATTTCGTTTCATAAGTCTCAAACTCACGGCCATCAAATCAGGTCTTGCTCAGTAACCCTACAGAGGAAAGAGTAGAACGACGCCCGTGTGAGTGATTCCATGGGAGCAGTCCAGGGGTCCTCAAGCCTTTTAAACAGGGGGCCGCTCACTGTCCCTCAGACCCGTTGGAGGGTCGGACTATAGTTTTAAAAAAAAGCTATGAACAAATTCCTATGCACAATGCACATATCCTATTTTGAAGTAAAAAAACAAACGGGGCAAAAACACCCGGCGGGCTGATGGAGGTCCTCGGCAGGCTGCATGTGGCCCATGGACCGTAGTTTGAGGACCCCTGAAATAGAGAGCCTCGTCTTCTGCCGCCCTTGCGGTCAGCAGCCTAGCCCTGAACCACTTCACCCCCAGGGCTCCCTAGGTCATGAGGACATGCTACAAACACACATTTGAACGTCGACATGACATGAAGCACACGAAAGTTTCACAGAACAATACCCTTCACACGGATAAGGTACTTGATTAGACACGTGAAGGCCAGCGGATCATTCCGTGCTACATTCAGCACTTCCCATGTATTCTGTTCTGCCTTATTTTACCATGCCCCCTGTGTAAGGAGACTTCCCCACCTCCTCCCTGCACGTCCCGTTTCCATCGGCCTTCTCTCCTAAGCCTTCTGAACTTTGTCCTTGGGTAAGCACTGCCGATCTCACATAGTTGGTTAGTCTAAAGTGTGTAGACCTCCCAAGTGTTGTTCTTCCCCCTATGGGCCCCTTCTTTACTGAAAATGTGACCCCTGGAGGTGGTGGGTTCTCTTCCAGACCTGAGGGGGTGACTAGGAACCGCATCTTAGGGGTTCCACCAGCCTCCGTCCGACCGGGAAGCCTGGCTCCTTGCGTGACTTTGGATCTTTGTCTCGGAATAAGCGTCTCCCATTTCAGGGTTGTTGACACGTGTAACTCGGAGACTGTGGAAACTACTTCCACTCTGTCCTTCAGTGCCCAGGGGACCCTCAGCAGTGCCCCGCCCCCCCCACCCCCACCCCCAGGCCTCTGTGAGCACTGACCCACATCCGTCTCTCTGCATTCTCCCGCCTAGGTATCTCCCGTCGGTGAAACCGTGCACTATCGGCCCTTTGTGAGTGGCTCGACGTGGGACTCAGCGTGATGTTTCTGAAGTTCACACCCCCCGGGAGTCAGTATCCGATTTTCATTTCTTTCGATGACTGAGAAACCATTGCGCGTGTGGACCACCTTCTGTGTAGCCACTCGTCTCGGATGGGCGTTTGGGATGCGTCCACCTCTTGGCTGCGGTGGACAGTGGTGTTCACGTGCCCGGCTTCTGCGGGCTGTTCCTGAGAGCAGTTTTGGAAGGACCCACCGACGGGCTCTACAGTGGCCTGCCATGCCGCAGTCACACCAGCAGTGGGTAAGGGTACCCCTTTCTGCTCCTGCCTGCCTTGCTGTAGCCCCGTTCCTGACAGTCTCGTATTCTGTTGCATCGGTTGCAACAACAACCAAACAAAGTGGGGGTTAATCCTGATCTTTCCTGACTTCATGACCCAGTCAGGGTCTCAACTTGTCATCTGAAAAGCCCTGGGTTGGGAAGGCCTCCGTTCTCAGGGTTCTGTTATCAACCCAGACTGTGGACATAAGCCAGGGGGAATTCACTGGAAGGATGCCAGGGAATCGGGCTCGCTGGGAAGGCAGAATCAGGCTTGGACATGGACAGAAATCTGACCAGATGCTGGAGGATGGGCGAAAGGGAAGTGGAAATTGAGGGTAGTCGACCGCCCCCTCCCCGTGGTTTGTGCACGATTTGAATGGATGGCCCAGCCCTCCCCAGCTTCCATGGAGGAGGGCAGGCGCGTTGGGCCTTGGATTTACATTAGGGGAGAGGAGATCCCTCCAAGTGAAGTGGGGGTGCCATAGGAAGGCGAATTCTCAACAGCCCCAAAGAGGCAGGGGGTGGGCTGCAGAAGGCCGCGTGGCTTAAAATCCCGCTTGCCGTCAAGCTGTCTGCAACTCCTGGTATCTCCAGAGCGTTGTTGGGTGGGGGGGTTCGGTCTTGATTCAGCAGGTAAAGGGGAGCCTCTGAAGGCCTTTGGGGAGAACTGGGCTCAACCGGAGGTTTACCTGTTGCTTTCTGCATGCGCATTCGGTTCATGATGGACGGTTTGTGTGCAGATGGTCCGGCGACATCAGGGACGCTTTCACAAAGGTGTCCACAGGCCTCGCCGGATTCTGGTGGTCCCGTGAAAAGTCAGCCTCTTTCTGTGTCTGTGTTTTCGCGGTGAACTGGGTGGCCGTGGACAGAGCCGATGACCAGTTTCACGCTCCGCAGCGTGCACACGTTCTGCGTCCCCGCCTTCGTGGCAACCCCCTCAGTGTCCCACCGCCTTCCCGTGTCCTCGCGGCACTTGCTGTCAGCACTCCGCCTTCTCTCCTGACCCTTCGGAACATTGTCCTCGGGCAAGCAAGCACTGCCCTATTGATCTCGAACGGCCGATGGTTCTGAGTGTGTCAGACCCGTCGGTGGCTCGGCTGAAAAGGGCACCAGGAGGGTGGCTAAGGGTCATGCTCTCGGGGCCCCACCAGGGCGCCTGCTCAGTCTCTTGTATGATTTTGAGCCTTAGTGTTCCCAGTGACTGTCTTTTTGTTTTTTAATTAAAAGAGCTTCTGTTGTTCGTCCCCCTGGAGGGGATGGGGTGTGGTTGTGTCAATCATCGGATCGGTACCCCCTTTCTCCCCTTGGCGCCCCACCTTCCCTCCCCTGCAGGTGCCGATGCTCCCATTCCTGCCCCTGGATTCCGAGTGTCGTGATGTTTTCTGGTTTTGTTCGGAGGCCGATCACCAGATCTTTCTTTCAGGGAGCCTCTGGGTGGATTGGATTAGCAGCCAGCAACGTGCACCGTTGGCACCCCTCGCGTGACTGACGTAGGCACAGGACACAGCTAGCTCACAGCAACAGTAGTGTGTCTCAGCGACATGCTTGGGGCGGGGAGGGGATAAAGGGGAGCAGCAAGAAGAAAGAAAATGTTTTTAAACTGATGGTGGTATGTGTTAGGTTGGGCAGAGTAGAGAAACAAATTCATAGACATTTGTAAGTGTATACGAAAGAGCTTTATATCAAGAGTAATTGTGTATTAAGAAAACATCCCAGCCCAGTCCAGATCAAGTCCCTAAGTCCATTAGTCCATAAGACTGATGCCAATCTATAAATTCCCCTTAAGACTCATGCAACACATGCAATGATCCGAGTGCAGGAAGATCACAGGCCAGTGGGTGGAAAGTCTTGTGGATCCAGTGGCAGTGGAAGCATCTCAGCGCTGGTGTGGGTCTCCACGTGGCTCCTCCAGCTCCAGGGCGCTGGCTGCCATCAGTGTGGCTCCATGTATCTTGTCAGCAGGAAGACAAAGCAGAGCGAGTGTGCCTGGCCTCCAGTGAGCTATTTATCTCTGTCGTGCCTCCAAATGAGGTCATCGAGCTGTGACCTGGTCATCAGGCTAGACTCCTCCCCTTCCTCAAGTTGACAGGAGATGATGTAACTGCCACCTGGTAGCAATTGTACAACACTGCTTGATGTGATCGAACAATGGAATGTTATATCTGTGAGAGCTCCCAATGACACGATAATAGATGGATGGATGGATAGATAGACAGACAGACAGACAGACAGACAGACAGACAGACAGATAGATAGATAGATGTAGGTAAGACATAGAAGGTAAAACAGAGGCCCCACCAGTGGCTTTGTGGTGTGGGCATGGTGTCCATTTGGAGAGTGGTTTGGTAACATGGTGGGGGTTGTGTGCAGGCAGGTTGACCCGCCTCCTGACCACCCAGGTGACAGAGCAGCACTGCCCCATGGGGACTGCCCCCCGGCTGTCATTTTATAGCAGTAGGGCCTCTGGGTCTTTCTCCCCCAGAGCTACTGGAGGGTTCAGGCCAGTCACTGGCATGTAGAAGCCCCACACTTTCATTGTTGCCCCCGAATGGAATGGCCCCTAAACTGTCCTGGCCCCTCTGACTCAGCGATTCTGTTTTCAAGGGCCCGCCCAGATTAAATAATTATGGAAAACGCTGTCTTCAGGGTCATTTTCTTCACCCTGTTCTGCACGATGGCCAACACCGGGGACAACTGAGGCAGCTCACCGTTAGGTGCGGCCCCTCCGTGCTCTGGGGCGCAGCTGTTCGAGGTGCCGTTTGTGAACAAAGAGAGGGACGTAAAATGCCTTGAAGCTCCTTCCCCGTAAGGTGGGAGGAGAGGAGATTAGGATGCAAGGGTGTACTAGACAGAGAGGTGGGGTGGTGGTGGTAGGTGTGTCTGTGTGTGTGTGAGTGTGCGCGCGCGCATGCAGGGAAAAGACTTGGGAGGCACCGCAGAAGAACGCTCACAGAGATTCTGCTTGAGTCGTACAACTATGGATCCTCTCTCTCTCTCTCTCTCTCTCTCTCTCATTTTTCTTTTTCCTTATGTCAAAAGTCCTGGGATGTAATACTGAGAAAAACGCAAAACCCGTCGTGAGACGTGCTTCCCTCGGTATGAAGAGTACTGGCCCCGTTTCAGAACAGCGCAGGGGAGGCAGAGCAAGTGTGTGCCCAGTGCGAAGCTGGCACGGAGGCCAGAGGACCCGGGTGGACTTGGTGGCTGCCTCTGCCCCATGTGCCCAAGGGAACCTGCATGACCTGCCTACCCCGTAGAGTCCTGTGGCATCAGTAAAGCCAGGCAGTGCCTGGTGCCCGACTGCTGTGGTTGTGGCCCTGGGGGGTGGGTGCAGCCAGGTGAGGGGACCCACGACTCCTTTCCCAAGCCCAGTCGCCTACCCGGGTGGGCGCAGGGTGTGGGGCCCGCCTCGCAAGAAAACCACGAGGGCTGAGCCCGGTGCCCCAGCATTATCTGCCCTCCCCAGCTCAGCCGGGAACAGAGCAGGAGGTGGAGCTGGGTTAGGCCCCAAGATAAGGGATAGGCAGCAGCTGACGGGCAGATCAAAACAAACAGCTGTGCCCCCAGGAGAACAAACTTTACATTCCATTCTCTGCTTCCACCCCCAGTTCCCACTGCTTCTCCCACCCCACCCCCTCGCCCGCACACTCTTCGTCCCCCATGAGCTAGCAGGGCCCCAGCTCGGCCTTGGCCACACTCCCTGAGTAGCAGTCCTTCCCAGCCCTGTAATCCTGGCCTCCAGCACCACCAGGGGCCCGGGAGAGAGGCCGCTCTCCAGCTGTCTGGAAGGGAGTGAGTGTTCTGGACAGGTGGCCGGAGGCGGATGGAGAGGGGCCTCTTGTAGGGCCAGTCTCACCTGCCAGACTGGGCCACCCTCAGCTCTCCCCTGGGCCGCTCCAGGAAGGTCCAGGAAGAGAAGTCTAGGCGCGTCTGGGGGGAGCAGGGGGCCGGAAGTAGGGCCTGGGGAGGTGGGGGGTGATGTGGAGTGAGCCTCATGGCTGGGTCTGCAAACATCTGGGTCCACTGTCACTGTGGGTGGCCTCTGCCCCCTGGGAACACACAGCCTAGCAGGGGAGGGAGATGTGCCCCAGGGACACCCTATGGACTTCTTGCTCGGGGAGGGAACCCCCAGGCAAGGCTTTGTAGCCTCTGAGGGTTCAAGTCAGTGCCAGGAAGCCCCAGGTGACTTTCTAGACGTGCCCACCTGGCGCCCCAATCTGGGAAGTAGAAGGGACAGCCCTGTCCACCTCCTGTGAGGGAGCCAACCCCCAGGCGACTGTGAGCAATAATTAACAGCCCTCATTCCATCTCACCCCACATTCCCAGGTCACCAGTACCCCCACATCTTGACGATGGAGGGCCCCTGTGGACATCCTGTTCTAGGCATGCAGAAGATCACGTCCAGGGGGGCTGGTGGGTGGGGGTTTGCCCCGGGGGCACCTTGGGTGCCTTTGGCCATGGTGGGAGGATGATTGGGAGAGGGAGGCCGTGGTGGGCTACACATCTTGCCTGGTGGCCGGGCCATCCAAGGGGGAGTCACCCCAAACCAACCCCCCGATGCGGAGTGAGAGTGAGCGTGGAGGTCTTGCTGCGTGTTTATAACTCCCTGCATCGCTCTGCTGAGATAACCCCTCTGAGCAACCCCGTCACTCCACTCCCAAGACACCTCTGCCTGAAAGCCACCTGTGCCCAGGCTTCACCCACCATTGGAGAGGAGAGAGTGCGTATAGAACCTTGGTGAGTCAGAATGGTATCAAGCAAATGAAACGAATTTATTTGGGAAACTCTTTTGGAAGTGTTTTCCCGGGCCCTAAAAAATAACCTCCAAGCAGCACATAAAACCAACCAACAAAACAAAACAAACTCCTGGCCATCAGGCCCACGGCGAGTCACAACAACCCTACAGGGCTGCCCCCGGGGCTTTGCGAGACTGTCACTCTTTGTGGGAGTAGAGAACCCAGGTTCTCCTGTGGAGAGGCTGG